CAAATACTTATTTATTACATATAATTTGGCAATATGTTCGAAATCTGAATCATGCTTGCTATCAAATTTGTTCAGAATTAAAAATCATGTTCAATCATACAACTTTCCACATATACATAATATGTATGTATTTTTATATAAAATTTTAATAATTCTTATTTGTACCTTTTGCATATATACATACATATACACATATTTTGTATTTTAGTATTATTTTTTCTATTTTTATTTATTTATTTTTTTTTTTCCATTGTCATAAAATGTTAGCCTCTGGACAATAAAAAACAACTTTTTTTATATAATATGTCGACACTCAATGTACAAAATCCAATAAATTTCAAGGTTTTCTATTTTTATCTAAAAATACAATGGACATTTGTATGTATGTGAATCTGTTATTTGGCTGTGTGTATTCAGAATAGAACATAGATCTCTCCCTTTTGTCTAGTTTTAGTCTAATAATAAGATTCATACAAAAATAAATTTTGCATTCATACTTGGTGTACATTAAAAAAATAAAAACAAAGGATTATGAAAGCAACAGACAAGCACAAAATAGCAACAGCAATAATAAAAAAAATGTACAAAAAGAAAGGAAAAACCAAAATCAAAAATTTATAACAAATTTAAACTTAAAGTCTCATAATTTTTCTTATTTTCAAAATAAAAAAAAAAAAAACAAATAAAAAAGACTTATGTATTTATGAATAAATTTTTAAAATCCATTTGGCTTGGACAATTTTAACCTCAACATTAAAAAAATTATTTTTTTCTAAAATCCTTGTTACCACTACGAACCAACCATTACTATCATCACCTATAAAAAAACAAAAAAGAAAATAAAAAAGAAAATTATAATTTGAAAGGAATTTTTTTTCTACTTTTGTGAATTCTGCTAAATCCCTATCTCTAACCAAATTTCTCCTTCATTCTCTCTTTCTCCTTCATCAGCCTCTCACTTTATTTGTTTCTACTCCTATAATGTCTAGATTTTTTTTTCCTATTTTTCCTTCCTATTTTTATTTCACATACATACTTATATACAGTATATATATATATATATTTTTTTTTTACTACGAAGGATATTCGCTTTATTTGTCTACTCAGCTTCTTTTGATGCTACGAAAAAAATATTAAAAAAATTGTAGAAGGAGTGAAACGATAATAATGCAAGAACAAAACACGAGGAATATTATAACAAATGATGGTTCTTGTACATGTCATCATAATACGTCAGAATCACGTAATTCTTGATGTTTAAAATAATAAATAAGAAAAAAGATTAAAATATATGTGCACTGCATATCTATACATGGTGTACACTTAAATGATCAGATTATCTTTCGATTTGATTATGTTTAAAATTAGTGGGGCAATCCATGGCAATATTGTCGGTTATTATATTAAGGAAGCGTCTATATCAATTATTAAGCTAAAAAGTGAAATAACTATATGAATGAAAAGTACAAGTAATGATGAGAAAATTAGTAAGCAAATTTTAAGTAATTAAACGTGAAAAACAAAATACTTAGACAATAAGGTCAGAAGTGATTTTTGTAAACATAAAGCACATCATAAATTATGATGGTAGAATATGAAAATATCAAAATCATTTTCCGATCTATCAAATGAATCGGTGTAATGAAAATGGTATGGTGAACGAAACTTAAATATAATTCGCAATTAACAAATAATAATTTAAATATATAAGTTTAAGTAGAGACTAACAAAAACACTCACTACTAGAGCAATCTATTTAAGTAAATTCATTTAAATGAAGTAAAACACATTCTTCTTGGAAACTAAAGATATTCAGATATGAATAGTCTTTCAACTACGCCAATGATGATCCCGATTTTTAAACGCCAATTGTTTAAAATAAAATGCAGCGTCATTTGAACGATACCAGGAATGTTTTTAATTTATTTTAATTTTTCTCCCAGTCATTTCTTTATAACAGAATGTCTTTTAAGAATATTAAGTTTATAATTTTAATATCAGCAACTACGAAATTGTTCAGTTGATTTTGTATGTGAGAAGTAAAGGAAAATAAATTATCCACAAGTAAGTTGGTATTTTTAGAATGCACATTTGAAAACTGTTGCACTAAATTTGCATCATAAAAAAAATTGATAGATAACTTGACAAATTGGTTGAAGTTTTCGAAAACAGCAATTGGTTTTAAAATTTATTCATTATATAATGGTCATATGTTGGATAATCCATTTAAAAAAGAGACAAAAAAAATATCATTATAAAGTTCGTGCGTTGTTAACTCGAACGAGCTTAGTTTTTAAGACACTCTTCAGCTAACGCTAAAAATTCGATACTTTAATTAATAAAGATTCGATTTCCTCTTATAAAGTTAAAATATTTTGAAGTTCGTTTTCAAATTTTAAAAAAATTTAATTTTTTTCTTAATTCGGTAAATTTCGAACACAAATTTTAGCTCAAATTCGGAACAAATCATTCATTCGGTATGTAATTAAAATGAATAAATATTTTTGTATATTAAGGTCACAAAAAATTTGCTATAAAAGGTGCTTCCAAATGCTTCAAGAACGCTTATAAATTCTTAATACGCATATCAAAAAGATAATATTAAAAATAGGTTCGATAAGCCATTACTTTCACGTTTTGATCTTCTATTTGACCGTCGAGAGCATGCGATTTGACGCCTCTAGATTTCTTTTGAAGTTATATTAAAATCTAATATGGATTGTAACTTTTAAAGCCATTTGCAAATTGTGCAAGTCTAATTTCTGTTTTGAAACGTATCCAAAAAAGTAGCAAAGATTGGATTATCGATTCAAATAAAAATTACAATTTTATTTTAGACAGTGATTATTTTTAAAGCAGATGAATAACAAATTATTGCCTCTCTGCTTAAACAGTATGTTTCAAACCTCTTTTGTTTTACAGTCTACAGTTTTAATATCAAAACATTTGCATTTAAAATTTGCTTTACCACTATTACTTTCTTAAGTACTCTTTTTTTTTTCTTTTTGAGTATGTAAGTTTGAACTTAGCTTGATGTTTAAGTTTTAATTCAATTACAGTTTCAGTGAAAATAAAAAACTATGAAACAAAAATTATGAGATTTTTGAAACACCATGTATATAACACACATATATTACTAAATAAATATATACTAACATTATATATTATTATGTCTCATACAAGTTATATAAACAAAATATTGTTAAATCTAACCAAAAATAAAAATAAAAAAAAAACAATAAAGCATACACACATAGAGAGACAAAAAAAATATGGCAGAACCTAGCCAAAAAAGGATCTATTTTAAGCTTTTTAAGAATAATGTTGTTGTTATTCATATTTCATAAGTATATACAGGTATGTATTTGTGTATACGCATAATGTACTAAATGTTTATGTGTCAAATATAAAATGTATACTATAATATAAGCCTGAACCTTTAAAATATACAGAAATAATATAATCTAATAATTTTGTACAATGTTTACTTAGGTCATTGAACCAACTGAAAAAAAAAACTTTTACAAAAATTTAAGACTTTATTAATTTTTTTGTTATCCTATCTACATTTTTATTTCATTTTAATATTTTGAATATCAGAAAGATTTTCCAATACAGTAGGTTGTAAAAATTTGGAAATGCTTTAAATATAAGGAGCACTATTATGGTGGGTGTAACTTAGATTTGCTAACGCAGTAGAAACGCAGTAATATTTTATCATCTTCAATTTCGTTCATAGTTTTATCTTTGATATTCCAATAATATATGTAAGACTATGATTTTTACCATTTTGTGTGAGCGATTAGTATTTGTATAAAGAAAAAAATGCTACTTTAAAAACCGCTGGTTTGCTCCAACTTTATTTCTTCTTATAACAAAGAAGAATTTCCATTTTAAACACTTAAAATTTAATATTCAAGATTACGCACCCATTTAAAATTCAAAAAAAAAATACGGAAAAGTTTTCTAATACAACCGCAAAAGAACAATTATTAAAGTTTAAGTTTTTTAATTAAAAATTATTATAAGGATGTCTTCTAAACATTAAGCGATTCTTCATTATCAAAAGATTAAATGGAAATGGAATAGAATTGTACAAAATAGAAAATCTACTATTCGTACAATCTCTTTCGTAAATTTAAATTGTAATTCCATTAAAAAGGAAATTTTTAATATTTTAAAAACTTGATTGCTTCTCTTAAGTCTAATTTTATTAGTTTTTTATTAAACTAAAAACTGAATCTTTGGTCCGCCGATTTCCTTCTTAATTTTAATTAATATTTCATATTGATAAATTTTAAAATAACATGCAATTTTATTTCGTTACAGTAGGGATTTTTTTTTTTGCATTTAATTTAGTTACTCACTATTGTTAAAGGACAAGTTATACATTTACTTAATATAATAATTGAGTCGTTTTAAAATCCTGTAGAAGAAACTTATAAACTCATAAACTAAAATAACTATTCAAAATCATTAAATTATTATCGGAAATATCAATTGAATAGACAAGTTAAGAGGTTGTGGTGACTACTCCAATTAAAATCAATTATTTTTAATTATTTTCAACAGTTGGTTGTAGTTCAAACAATTGAGTAATTGATTATAACATTATTAATTTGAATTATTTCTCGTTTTTGTAATGTATAAAATATAGAACGACTTGAAAATATAGGACGACTTGAAAATATAGAACGACTTGATTGACTTTCATTGACACTTATACCTAAGGACCTGCCTCAGCTGATGAAATGTGTTACTTTTGAAATTTTTACTAAATTTATCGATTTAATTCCATTGTGGTTTATATTCATTTTTTATGAACAACTATTTAAAATATTTTTATTTGCGAAAATTCATTTAGAAAATAAAGCAATCAACTAAATCTTACCACTGTACCCGATTTCGTGAATTAAAATTTTTACTGACTAAAATAATATTTAACTTTAAATTTTGTTAAAAATAAATAATTTATTTTTTTATTTTAATTTCAGCCGACAGCTCATTTTTATTAGCAAATGCTCAAATTGTCGACTTTCCAATTGTCTATTGCAATGAGTCCTTTTGTAAGATTAGTGGATATAATCGAGCTGAAGTTATGCAAAAATCGTGCCGGTAAGTGATATGATTTTTCTAAGTGATATGGCGCTGGTTTGAAATGTTTATTTAAAGTTTCCTTGATTATTTAATTTTTATAATACATATAAATATTTATAATAAGCTGTTTGATAATATTATGATGATATCAAATAAAATTTTATAGGTTGTTTTGGTAAATGATATTTTTGACTTTAGTTATAAGGAGAACAATGAAATCGCCATATTAACGACATCAACGAATACTTAAATGACGAAAATTTTTTTAATTAATGCGAATGCTGATAGCAAATACTTACGGTAGAGTCAATAACAAATGAAAATTCTTTTCGAAACTTTTTTGAAATATTCATACAAAGATTTAGGTTTTTTAAAATTTCCTACAATGGCTATCTTTTAAGTACTTGTCGAAAAAAATTAAAAAAAAATGTTTATTCGTTTCATTCCGTTAATCCGTGCGTCCGTCTGCTGAAAGATGGAATTTTATGTACATATAGATCGCCTTACTAGAAAATTATTTTTCTAGAACAAAATTTTTGTCCATGGACACCACTAAAATGTTGAATTTGTCTTTAATTGTCTATTTATTATTTCTAAATTCTACGACAGCAAAAAAAGAGTGTTTGGCTTCTTTAGTAAAATAACAGTCAAATATCGTTATGATAAAAGGCCCGTCAAATTTAACTGTCATCTAAAATGTGTTTTTATGTCAAACGATTTTAAAACGATAGCATACTATCGTTTTTCTTGTAGACGGTAATTTCTCGAAGTCTGAAATAGCAGCTTTTAGAAGAAATTGTTTTCCACTTCACTATCCTTCCAAGTTATCGCCACTTAAAACTAATATAAATTGAATTTCCGGAAATTTTTTTTCGAAACTGCAAGATTTTGCAAATTTCTATAACAGCAATAATTTCAACCTAAATTACGCAAGTTAAATAGCGGTTAGACTGTCCTTTAAAAAAAGTATTTTTACTTGTTCAAGTTAAAAAATCTATTTTACAAACATATGATTTGAACTGAATTCATTACATGTTTTAAAAAATAAAGCTGAGTCAAATCAATGGTTTGTATTGTAGCAAGAGGTGAAAATACTGCTTCTAAAAACAATCTAGGTACACCTAGTACACTATTAAAATTACTTTTATTCATGCGAAACTATTTCATTAAGGATTGCATATATTTAGAATGAGCGATTTATGCAGTCTTTGAAATAAATCAAAAATAAATTGAAAGAGGTGTTGACAAGAGGTGCTTATGCAAGGATTCATATAAATTCTTATAAATTCTTTAAGGAATCACTTTCAACTTCATGTGCGTATGTTCCGTAGCTGTTGACCTGTGCGGTAATGATGACTCAAAATGAAAACGGAAAAATTATTAACAAACATGTACAGCCAATTCGTTCTTGTCTTAACTCTCCAGGAAGAGGCGGTACTCATTTAATAAAGTATCTTTTTTACCTTCTTCTAATAAATTAAGAAATATGCTTACAAAAGCCAGCAAATAACATTTTGAAGAATTAATATTAGCATCATTTTAACAGTTTTGTAATATTTATTTAATGTTTGAGAAATAAATGTATCCACTTTTAAGCAAAATTTTCAAATATAGCCAATTGCGGCATTTTAGCAGATTTGAGTATCTTTGTATCTAAGCTAAATTTAAAGCAAGAAAGTATCCAAATGGATACAATTGTATCCAAATGGGAACACTCGTTTTATTGGAGTATAACTTTAAGAGAGGTAAAAATAAAAAGAGAGGGAGATAGGCAAAAAGTTTGTTCTACGGAAATAAGTTCCTAGTAAAGATCTATGTACATATAAAATATAAGCTTTCTATCTGGAAGGATGTAGAAGTTTTGTAAACATGTCTACGGATGGGCAGACAGACGGACGAACGAACGAACGGAGTGATACTAATAAGCACTTTTTTCAAAAATTAATTAGAAAGAGCTTAATAAAATGAAATGTTAATTTTCTAAAATTAAGCTTATTAAATGAAACCAGCGATGAATTATTTAAATTTTAAATCATCGAATTTATTGTTTGTAGTAATTTAATCCCTACTCGAATAGCGATTTAATTTATTAATACATACAATGTGTTATTTAGCTTCGCTTTTTTATATTGACACGGTAAACTCTGTTTTTTCTGGTTCTTACTTACCATTTAGATTACACGTTTAACTTCCAAAAAAATTCATTATACTTAATAATTTTTTTTTTAAATTGGAAAAACTATAGAAAAATGTGGCAGAATAAAAAAAATTATTTCAAGGAATAGTTCTTTCCGTTTTAATAATGTGATTAACATAATTTTAAATGGCAACATTATTATAATTGTAAATAGCATGTTGTAATATTGATCCTTATTATGAAAAAAATAATTCTAATAGTTATTGAAGTGCTAGTATTATAAAATTTAATTATCGGCATTGTATTGTATGATTTATCGTATTTCAAAAGAGCTTTTTTTTTGTCTATCTAAAGTTCGCAACTGTTCCTAAAACAATTTCAAGAGCTGCCAGAATCCCTTCAATTATTTCATAAGAAACATTGAATTGTTTTACAAATTGCTTAAAATTGACGAATAAAAAATTTATTTTTAAATTTTATTTTACATAAAGGCCAAATATTTATTTCAAATACATTTTCTCTATTCCTACTAAAGTGTTAAAAATTCGAGTTTTCTAAAATCACGAATAAGTTATGAATAAGCTGTAGAAATGTGATATGTTAAAGATGAGGAGTATGTTCAAATGAAACACTTCCAGTTTTACTTCCAGTTGATAAAAATAGTGAGAAAATATATTCCAAATTCTATTCGATATTGTGATATTCCATATATTACTATTCGATATATTCGATATTACTAAGAATATAAAATATGGCAATTATTCCTAACAATTTATATATATATATATTTTAACTCCAAACATATGACGTTACGACTCTGCACCATCTTTTGTGACTTTCTTTTATTATTAATAAATGAAGAGTTTAAAATATAAATGAAATCCGAAAACAAAGTGTTAATGGAATCCTGCATACTAAAGCATATAAAATATTACATAAAATTTTGGATCTATATCTTCCTATAATTTTTACCGACCGTATTGTGTAAACAATAGGTAGGTTAGGTGATGGCAACAAATTTTGCATATCGAGATTTGGGTGGGAACGTGCTTCTGCATAGTAGGGATGTGTAAATAAACTATTTTTAGCAACCTGTCGGTCTGTCGGTTTGTCATGTGAACGTGTGTATCTCAAGTTCGGCTGAACCGATTTTAATGAAATTTTATATGCAAGTTTATTTCGATTATGGCACGGATTGATCAACTTTTGGGTTATATCAGGTCTCGGGAACTGCACTTTTTAGCGGACCTGTTTTAAATTTTTGAACATTTTGAAGAAAATATTCAACCGATTTACTTGAAATTTAATATATAAGCTCAGCTCGAGTGTCCGCGAAAATTCCTATGTCTTGGAAGAAATCAGGCATCAGCAACTAGACGTTTACTACGGGCCAAATATACATTTTTGTGTATATAAAGAGTAATAATCAACCGATTTCATTGAAATTTAATATATGAATTCCTCGTATTAAAACAATGAACATCTAAATTTTTTGGAGAGATCAGAGCTCGAAAACTGATCTGCGAGCCGATTTTACATTTTTCACCATATCTACGGAACGAATAGATGGAATTTCTTCAAATTTGATATCTGAGTTCTGATTGTTACCGAAACTAACTGGCGAGCATTTCAGGGAATTCGGGTAGCACAGAGCAAAACTTTACTAAGAGCCAAATTTACATTTTTCTAGGTATTTCAACTATGAGCTTACTAATGTCCTAAAAATTGGAAAGATGTATTTAACAGACAGTTTTATAATATTGTGTAACACTTTCACTTAACTAGACAATACACATTGCGGTCGGTTATGTGCTGATCACATCAGATTTTTTCTAATGCCTATGGTATCTTTAAACTACTTTACCAATAAACTGCTACTTTACCAACAATTAGTTTGATCAATTTGTTTAACAATTTATGAAGAAATTTATTGTCATGGTCAACAATCCCTTTCAGTCCAGTCCAGGATATGTTTCTGTACCGTAACGTAACATAAGAAAAATTATAGTAGAAAATGGTGATTAGCTATAAACCGCAGTTTTATTGTCGAAATACTATTTATAAAAGTTTTTAAAAAAGTTTACACTTTTATAAATTATTTTAATAAAAACACTTTATTCTAATCACCTTTTTACCACTTTTCCAAAAAATTTTTGAAAAAAAGTGCTTATTAGTTTCACTCTGTCCGTCCGTCTGTCCGTATGTCTGTTTACAAAACTCCTACACCCTTGCAGATAGAAACCTGAAATTTAATATGTACACAGATCTTTAATAGAAAGTAATTTTCGTAGAACATAATTTTTACCCAAACCCTAAAAATGCTATTTTTCAACTATTTATTGTGGTAGAACCATATGCATTTTTAAAATTTTGCAAAGGCAGAAAGCCAGTGGCTTGCTTCGTCTTTCACGACATACTATACTTGAACTTTAAAAAAACAAAATGGCCGCTAAAATTTACCGTTATATAAAATCCGTTTTTTCCAAATTTTTAATGTTTTCTCCTAAATCCCAGGTTGCAAAAGCCTGAAATTTTGACAGCTTTCAGAAATTAATAAATAGTTCATTTCGTTAGAAGAAAATTTTTTTCCATCTCTACCCTCTCTCAAGTTATCGCCCCTTGAAATTTGTAAAATTTGAAAACTGTCACCATATATTTCTGAAACCGCAAGCTTTCAGCTAACGGTAAATTTCACGACATTAAAAATTATAATTATTTTTCTTAACTCACACAATTAACCTTTAAAATCGAAAATCATACTAACCCCTCTAAAAAATTATTTTTGCTTTATTTCAAACACTGCATAAATCGTTCATCCGAAATTATGCAATCCTAGAAATAGTTTCGTATATGAATGAAAATAATTTAATAGTGTGGTAGA